GCATTATACATAAAAAAGATCAACGATCAACGTGGTACATGTTTCGATCCAGATTGATCTTTTTCAGTCTCTTTAACGAATAGTAATTACAGATAAAGTATTACACAATAATATATAAATTAATACGTTACATCCGTAGAGTCAAATTTAATAAGAATGTGCTACAATTATGAGAAGTAATGCAATTGAATGTAATGCAATTGAAATCGTCGTTCCAGCAGAATTTCATTGTTTGTTGTATGAAAAATCCAACGGAATGATTGATCAGTTGGCAAGGATTAAAAAATCATTTTTAAAGTCAGAGCCGAATCGAAGCTTCAAGAACAAAGATTTCAATAATGAGTAAGAAAAAAATTGAATACGTTCACTGTAATTGACATCGAACAATTCGATTTTAATTTCTCTCTCACTCATTATTGAAATCTTTGTTCTGGAAGTTTTGATTTGGTTTTGTACTCTGACTTTAAAAATGATTTTTCAATCCTTGCCAACTGATCGATCATTCCGTTGGATTTTTCATACACCAGACAATGAAATTGTGCCGGAGCAAAGGTTTTAATCGCATTATATATCGACGACTTCTCATAATTGCAGCACATTCTTATCAAATTTGACTCTACGGATGTAACGTATTAATTTATATATTATTGTAATATAATATTTTATTTGTAATTACTATTCGTTGAAGTGGCTGAAGAAGACCAATCTAGGTCAAAACATGTACCACGTTTATCGTTGATTTTTTTTATGTATAACGCTTATCGTTAATAGAAATTTTATTTCAATAAAAAACTCTGTTACCCTTGTTTAAATAAACCCGTTAGTTTGACCTAAATCTTAACTTGTTAATGTTTTCACTTGAAAAACGGGACAACTTAAATGCAAGAGAAACAGAAAGGGAAGAGACTTAAGCTGTGTTCATTGAAAATCTATAGTTTATGTTACGTGCACTATAGACTTCAGCACTGGCGGTGAATTTGGGAACATAGCCTCAGTAAGGTGGGAGAGGACGTTTATACATATACAAGCAGAAGTCGCGCGCACTACTTCAGTCTAATACTAACAGATCTAGTGAAGAGTGAAAAGAAAGAGATGAGAGAAGTGGAGAAATCGATTTAGAACAAAGCGTAAGTAATAATTGAAAATAAGAAAAAGAGATAGGATAACTATAATAGAATTTATGGCAAAATATAAACGAAATATCCGGGCTGTGCAGGACTGTGGTTTGGTTGTTATTAGAAGTTTTATTTCTGCGGCTGGAATTATTAAAAGCGGATATGCGGATATACCGGATCAATTTATAAGTCAATTTTTTAAGTGCGGTTAAGTTCAAGGAATATTATAATATATAAGTAATACACGAGAAAAATACGTCCGCTCGCTAAACCGTGTCTCTTAGCCGAATTATTATATACTTCGTTGTCTCGTCGGTCGCCTGATCTATCTTCAACAATCTTCGGTGTCTCACATTATTTACGCAAAGACCTTTAAGTTGCCAGCCGTTAATAATGTTGCCTTTTCTTTTTTAGCGCTTATAAATTGTAATAATTTTTACGATTACGGTTTACATAGTTATTTGGCGCGTACAGGGTTACATTTAAATATTGCTAATTTGCATCCCCCCCCCCGCAGCAGGCCAATTCAATTCAATAAAAATTGAATTAACGTTCACGCATTGTTATTTGTCGACCTATGTGCCAACGAGTCTATTTCTTATGTCTGTCTCGAGACATGTTTATGTGTTTTTCGCGCCGGAATAGCTGAGCGGGTCGGCGAGCCCGTCAGCGTGAACACTTTTAGCTATACTTTGTATTACCTATCGAATTTTCGCAGAATTTTATGATTATAAATTAGGATTGTAACGATACAATGGCCACAGTATTAATAAATACAGAATTAATAAATGTGATAAATATATGTTTTAGACCAAGCATAGAGAACACTATATATATCTATAAATCATGATGACCAACATCATAAATGAAACTGTTATCGCGTGAGTTACAATATATAATTATCAAAAACAGAAATTGCCCACAGCGGTCCTTTACAAGAAAAAGAAAAAATAACAGGCCAATTATATATTTTTTCAGGAACAACAATGTTATTTTGATTGTGTCAATTTTTTACGATCTTTTGACATGTATTAAATGCAACGCCATATTCAGAACCGGTAAGTGTACTTTTATAGCAATTCCTACAATGCAACACGAGTCATTCTCCATACAAGTTGCAGATGCATTATTGTTTAAAAAGCATAAAAGCGAAACCAGCACTTTCCGCTTTTTATATTAAAATTGTGAAAAAATATTTAATCAAGTGTAGCTTTGAACAAATTGCTCGAATTTTTATTTCAATCTTAAGTAGAATCGTAAGGCTCGTAAGTTGTACTCTCATTTAAGATTTGTAAGAACTTATAAACAGGAATTGTAATTCTATGCGTGTAGTAAGATATATGATTATTCCTAAGTATCTATGATTTCTCGTAAATCTTATGGCTAGCAAGAAGTTGTCTCTAAAGATATTACATAAAGTTAGAAGCATTCAGTTATAAATTTCTACAAGTCTCACGAGAACAAATTAGGAGCCTTACGATTCTGCTTAGAAGTGACCTATAAATAATTAAAAATATTAAATATTATTTTTTATACATGTGTTTGTCTCGGAATGATAGTAAAATATATAATTCACTGAAAAAAATAAAGAAACAAATTATTTAAACATCTCTTGAATTTGGAAGTAAAAGAGTAGAAAACTTACAGAAAGCAATTTACATAATTCTAAATATAGGTATATATGACACATTTTAACTGAAAAATTTTTAAATATATAAATAATGTAACTCTATTTTGTTTTTTGATGACTTATCTTCTAAAATAAAATTGCAATTTTAAATATAATACATCAAACAAGATTTATCGTACGGTAGAAAGCAATTCTATTTCTATTCTGTATGCAATTTAAGTTTTTTGTCGCGGCTTGCGTGCTCCATTCATATTTCGCATCCGTTAATTTCTCGCTATTATACATTTTTCCTCACATCTGCAATTGCACCTGTATCCGCACAAAGAGATATTATTCACTATGATGTCTTTTTACATGCTATTAACATAAAAAGACATCCTATCATCTATAGTCGAAGCGTCGAACAGTTTGGAAACATCGAATAATGTGATACTAAAGGAAACGAAATGCGATGATATCTGTTTATCACCTGAATGCATTCACATAGGTTAGTAAAATATGTGTATGGCGAAATTTAAATATCTATTTAAGTATAATGTTTTTACAAGATTAAATATCGTTATACAAGTAATAAATATAAATACTGTATCTTTTACACAAAATTGCGTACGAGATATTGATCATTGCATATTTGGATATAACACGATATATGTATAATAATCTTTTTTTTTTTTAAATTTTCTTACCAAAGATATTTTACATATAAATATTTACTTAGTAAAATATAAATTTTTATGCTTTATAAGAGATAAATTAATATTTTATAAATCATTCCACTCGAACACTAAGAAATCACTATTTTGCTTCGAGATATTGAATTGTACTAATCTGCATATGCAACGTATATATATATATCACAGCCTCTCAAGTACTAAAAAACATGAATCCTAAAGTGGAGCCCTGTGATGATTTTTACAAATTCGCCTGCGGTGGCTTCCTCGAATCCACTTTTATTCCTGACGACCAAAATACGGTGAATACGATCTCTACTATAAATGACAATATTCAGAAACAACGACGGCTCATTCTCGAGCAGGACAGTCCACCAAACGAATTGAGACCATTTAAACTTGCCAAAGACTTCTACAAATCTTGCATTAATAAAAGTAAGCAATTACAACATAAAATTTTTCGTAATTAAATTCGGAAATGCAATAGAATCATTTAAGGGATCCAACGAAATCATAGCACCATAAATATTAAGTTGAAAATTCTATTGATAATTTAACGAAATTGTATGAAGCTTTTGATCTTGCTATATTTCTCTCGAAAAAAAGTATTACTTATAGTTGTGACACTGTAACGCATAATGTATTAGAAGAATAACTGCATCGTAATTATTTTTGCATAAGTCTTTATTTTCAAAGCATTTCGTAGTATCAATCAAAAAGGGAATGAAAGAAACAAAAAATCAAAATAATCCTTTACTTTTTTATTTAATTTCTGAATGCTGTTTCTTTCAGCCGCTATCGAGCAGAGAGGCTTGACATTATTATTGAACAACCTAAAGGAACTCGGTGGCTGGCCCGTTTTGGACAGTGAAGGATCATGGAACGAGAATGACTTTACTTGGATGGATTCAGTCTACAGATTCCGCAGATTTGGGCATTCCTTTTGTTACTTCATTGGTTTTAAAGTAATGAATTCTTACAACTCAACAGAGAATTATTCAAAACGTTGGATCAGCGTAAGGACATAATTTATTCTAAAATACCGGAATAAACTCGGAACAAAGATCATTATTTATAAGTAAATCATATGAAAAGTGAATTAAAGTGATATATATATATATGTATATATATATATATATATTTATATATTTCACTTGAATTATTATATCTACAAGAGCAAAATGAAAAGCTTTCGGCCTGGCATAGAAATGGTACCAGAGATGTTAAAGAGCTATGATTTTTCTTAAGTTTGATCCTTCAGAGGGCCTATCGAAAAAGTTTCAGACAGATTTCAACAGATGCGGTTAGTAGTTTGTTTCTTGTGTTGAAGTAAAGCAAATAAGTTTTGATATTTCTCGAAAAATGAATAAAATCGAATGTCTGCAATTGCAGTCGCAAAACTCCATGAAAATCTTTGGGGATGAGTACTGTGGGTGTGGCAGCAATTCGAAGCGCAACTCTTGGAGTTTTGCGAATGCGTTTCTGATCGACCAGCAAACACGGCACCCATAGCACTGAGAGCTTTTTCATGTGCAAATGTTCGTGTAAAATGTTATGAAAACGATCTATTTCATCAGATGTTTACAATGTCAGCAAGCTCACGCACTTTCACTCGTCGATCATTTAACACGGTATTATGAATTTTTTCGATTTTCTCAGTCGTAGCGGTTTTTGGGCGTCCTGAACGTTCATCGTCATTTACGGACAAACGACCACGTTTGAATTCAGCAGCCCATTTTTTTCAGTGTTGAAAACGATGATAAAGAGTCTCCCAAAGTGGAATCTAGCCCGTTTTTTATTTCCGTTGGCTTTTCGAAACGAAGTATTTTATTACTGCGCGACATTCGATTTTTATTAATTTTTTGAGAAACACCAAAACTTGTTTGCTTTACTCGATAAAAGAGAAACTACTAACCGCATATGTCTGAAACTTTTTCGGTAGGACAACTCAAGGATCAAACTTAAAAAAAATCATAATCATTTGACACCCCCGTGTCATTTTTATGTCAGGCCGAGAACTTTTCACCTTGCCCACGTATATAAACAATTTTTTTCTAAGCCGAATATGGCATTTGTTTCCAAGAAGTACAATAAATAAACATTCATAATTCTTTACAGCTCTTTCGCGCATCGTTCGGTCTTTCGCGCAAATATTTGATTAACGGTTTGGACGATAAATTCGTCCAAGCATATTATGACTACATGGTGGACATTGCTGTTATTCTCGGAGCTAAACTAAGCCAAGCCCGCACTGAACTAAAAGAATCACTTAAATTTGAAATTAAACTCGCGAATGTAAGTCATCTCTTATTAAGCTTAATCACGAAATATCTTCAAATTACAGTTTTGGTAAAATTATTTTTTAAATCATCGATCGATTGAGATTAACATTAATAGATCAGATTAATAAATATGTACGCAGATTTCCTTCGATGAGAAACCATCGCCCAACAATTCCATGACTCTGAATCAGCTGTCTGCTGCCTATCCTAGCATACCGTGGCAGGAATACTTTAACACCATCCTGGCACCGCAAGGACAACTCAATCAGAACGATACAATTAGCGTGCATCACCCAGGGTATCTAAAGAATTTCATACTGCTGATTAGCACGACACCGAAAAGGGTGCAGGCAAACTACGCGTTCTGGAGAGCGATTGCTGCAACGATCAAATATTATGAAACGGATGACATCTGGAAGATTCGGCTGAAGTACTTAAGTAACTTGAAGTTAAACGGTAAGCAAAATAGGCAGCCGAGATGGAAAGAATGCATCGACATTGTTTCCGAAGGAAAGAAACTTCTGTATATTAGCGTCGAGTCGATGTACGTGCGAAAATATTTTAAAGAGGACGCGAAGAAAATCGTACTTGAAATGGCCAATGATGTTAAACAGGAGTTTACAATGATCCTGAAGAAGGTAAGAGAATACATGAAAATTTTAATTTAAGATTATAAAAAAATAAAAGTCTTATCAAGTCTTCTTCGACATTCTTCTAATTTAGGAGTTAAATCTTAAAAATCTTAAGAATTACCCTCTTTTTCATTCTTTTAGTATTTTTCCATTTATTTGAAAATTACAATAAATTGAAATAAATAAACCAAATAAAGAAAATGAGAATGAATTAAAATAGAAAAATTAGAATTTTGGATACATTTCAGTTACCTATATTTATTATTAAGAGATAATATGTTCAAGATATTAAATCTAAAAACATTTATTATAAGTATATTTCGAAACATTAATAAATTTTTGACAAAATTACACGCGTTTTTAGGCGGATTGGATTAATGAGGAGACTAAAAGTTACATTTTAGAAAAAACAGCTGTAACGACTTTAAATATTGCATATCCAGATGAACTGTTGAATGATAGAAAGCTCGAAGAATTTTATGAGAAACTTGAATTGAATGCTGACGATTATATAGGAAACATTTTTAACCTGTCTAACTTTGAAACAAATCTCGAATTCAGTAAACTGAGACAGCCATGGAATAAGACAGAATGGATAAAGCGTGTAAAGCCGGCTGCTGCCAATGCGTTTTACTTATGGCTCGAAAACGAGATTGGTAACTAGAAACAATTCCATAAAAGCACATATTAATATCCCAAATAGCACAGAGAATTTAAAAAAAATTTATTCGTATATTCATTCGTATGTCATTTTGAATTTTTTGATGCAAAAAGAATTCTTTTTGAATCTGAAAATTAACTCAAAATTGATAACATACAATTGAATTTTTTTTTAACTCTCTGTGCTATAAAACCTGGGACATAAATTTATTAGATTATTTTTGCGAATAATTGGCGTATACTTCAACAATTTAATAAAGTCCATGAAATTATATCAGTTTCCCATTCTTTATAATATTTGTCACTATGTACCGAATCATTCTTTTATTTATCTCGTAGAAGTGAACGTGGGTATTATGCAAGGCATATTTTTCAACGATGAACGGCCACATTACATGAACTATGGCGG